CCTCTTCTTGTTGTTTGTCAATGTTTCTATATCTGTTGGATTCACCGCCAAATATTTAACAGTCTCAATGTTGGTTTTTGTTTGTTTGTTGCGAAGGTGTGGTTATCCAGCGGTGAATGCTTCTTACTATGACTTGAGCTTTCTTTCAATAAGTTCTAACAAAGATTGTAAGCTTTACAAGAATTTGAGGACCATCAAGTGCTACAATTGTGATTCTTGCAAGTAGAGCAGCTATCAACTTCCCTCAAAAAGCTAATTATGTACAATTCTGTCGATTCATTTTCCGATGAAACTAATTGATTCTGTTCGTTTGATTAATAACCGCAGAGCTGGAGTAGCTCAGTACATGAAAACCGAATGGCGACTTGTTGCGATCTTCAACGTGGTTCTGTTTGTTGTGTTGGTAAGACCTATTAACACATAAAAATCCAAGCTTTCTAAGGCTTATATGCAAACAACTACTTAACCTTTTGATAGATTGTCCATCCACAACAATCCTAAAGCATTTTGCAAAATCTTGAATTGTTAGGATGGTTGAGATATTTGCTTGTGAGAAACTGATTTGTATTGTTTTCTTTATTGAAACTACCAACAGTCAATGGTTTACTTCGTCGGGTGCTGCGCAAGAAGGAATGCGGCTAGCTACCGATCCAAAGCTTAGAAATCGAAGCCCTGAGACAAAAAATCTTCACCGGATTCTTTGAAATTGCAGAAGAACCTCACTATTATGTTGCTGAATGCTTTCAAGAGAGTGGTTAGAGAGTGTCACAAGAGCAACAACTTTTCTCATTCTTTTTCACTCTGTAATCAATGAATTGAAAACAGAAGGAATTAAACAGAGAAAAAATTTGATGGTCTTTTATCTTTAGACATGAGATTTGATGTGCTAATTATGTTATTAAAATTTTGGTTTATGGATTTCACCGGTTCAATTGAATACCTATTTCTCATGAAAATCGGACCGGAAAGGCTAAACAAATCGGAATTTACATCAAAATTGTATGATCTTTTATCGGTTAAAATGAGATTTTGATGGGATGATAAAATAACAAAATTGATTTATTTTCCCCGGTTTTACCGGTTCAATTACATACCGAAACTTTCATGAAAATCGAACCGGATATATCAGTGAAGCTCTTAAACCCTAAAACCTCAGGGAAAAAAAACATTTCGTCTGTTTTTCTTCTTCTTAATTTTTAGAGTCACCGGAAAATGTACTCGTCAATTCTCCGGGAACGATCTGGTACCTTTACAGGTTTGTTATGGAGCCGAATCTTCTCTCGAAACATGGGTGGTGGTCCGAGAACCTTCCCTGGAGGTCTGAACAAGTGGCAATGGAAACGTATGCACGAGAAGAAAGCTAGAGAGAAAGAGAACAAACTCTTGGATCAAGAGAAACAGCTTTACGAAGCTCGAATCCGATCTGAAATCCGAGCTAAAATGTTCGGAAACAACGATTCCGGCGAAAAAACGGCGAAATCGAGCCAGAGTCATGGACCGATTAGCCCGAAAGAACATATAAAATCTTTGGCTGATCGGTTTATGAAAGCTGGAGCCGAGGATTTGTGGAACGAAGACGATGGACCGGTTAAGAAATCGGATCACGGGTCGAGACGGTCAGGTTCGAATTCGATTGATTCTTCTTCTTCTTGTAATTCGCCAATTGATGTGAGGAGTTTCGTTTCTGGGAGACGTGGTTCGACGGGTGATAATTGGAGTTTCGATCGTAGTAGTAGAGGTTATTCGAGTATGAGTAGAGGTAGATTTAAGAGAAATGAGAGTTCTTGTGATGAAGGAGATGAGTTTGATGGGAAAAAGTTTGATACTTTGAGTCCTTTTGCATCTAAATTTGCTGGTAAGAAGGAGAAAGTGAAAAGCTCGAAGAATGTTAATGGAGTTATGAGGAACAAAGGTTTGTTTGGTGGGAGAAAGTTTAGGAAGAATGATAGCTCAACCGAAGAAGATTCCGAGGAGGAAAACGATGGAAAGATGAAAGGTTGGATGGATTTGAGGAAAACGGGAAGCAGCGCATCGTTAGGTAACCACGATATCAAACTGACGAAAAGAGTTAACCATAGTGTCACTGATGAAGAGCTTTATCCTCCTTTGGATATCAATGTTGTTAGAGAAGATCTCAGGAAAAGGAAATCAATGGAAAATGTAATGGACGAGAATCTAGAGCCTCGTGACTCGATTTACAGTAGAAAAAGGTATATTAACACACACCGTCTAAGGCTTTTCATTTTGTTGTCAAGTTTGGATCTTGATGAGCTTTTTCTTGCAGATTTGATGAGTCTAGTATATCTCCTTTGACTATAAAGGCGCTTTCTGCGTCTGGCATTGTTAAGATGACTAGAGTACAAGATGCCACTCTCTCTGAGTGCCTCGACGGTATGTATTCACCTTGTCCCGGTTCTTTTGTGATTTCTCTGCTTCGGTTTTAGCATTTGACAAAGGATTATCCTACATGTAAAGCAGGTAAAGATGCGTTAGTCAAAGCCAAAACCGGGACGGGAAAAAGCATGGCCTTTTTGGTATTTTACAATCCCTTGCCCCAATATGATGGGGACTAGCTTTTGTTGTTTCTTTAGATAACGCTTTTAAATTGAAAAACAGCTTCCTGCAATTGAAACAGTTCTGAAAGCTACGAACAGCAGTAATAGTGTTCACAGAGTTCCTCCCGTATTCGCTCTTATCCTCTGTCCCACAAGAGAACTTGCAAGCCAGATCGCTGCAGAAGGCAAGGCTTTGCTCAAATACCATGAAGGAATCGGTGTTCAGACTCTGATTGGAGGTACCCGCTTCAAACTTGATCAAGAACGCCTACAATCCGAGCCATGCCAGGTTTGACAGATCATGATTCTTGGTTTTACAAGAATTGTTAAGTTTATATCGCTAAACGATATGAATCTTCTTTTCTTTATTCAACTTTTTGCAGATACTAATTGCAACTCCGGGAAGACTCTTGGATCATATAGAGAATAAGTCTGGCTTAACGCCGCGTTTGATGGCTCTTAAATTGTTTATAGTCGACGAGGCTGATCTCTTACTAGACTTAGGATTCAGGAGAGATGTTGAAAAAATCATAGATTCTTTGCCTCGTCAAAGACAATCTCTTCTCTTTTCCGCAACCATCCCAAAAGAGGTAAAATTGCTAAGTTTTTTCTCACTGTTATCACAAAATCCAATGTGAAAACACACGGTTTAAGGTTGGGTTAATGCAGGTCCGTCGAGTATCACAGCTTGTTTTGAAAAGAGATCACTCTTATATCGACACAATTGGTCTTGGTTGTGTAGAGACCCATGATAAAGTAAAGCTTGAACTCTTCATTTTGTTTTTAAAAGCTTGATTTTTGAATCTGGTTATTGAGTTTCATGCTTTTTTTTTTCTCAGGTGAAGCAATCTTGTATTGTTGCTCCACACGAATCTCATTTCCACTTAGTACCTCATCTTTTGAAAGAACACATCAGCACCACACCCGATTATAAGGTAAAACAGAACTTGTACAGAAACATTTTTTCTTTTTCTTACCTTTACGATTCTCTCAGCTATCCAATTTCATCTCTCAGATAATAGTCTTCTGTTCGACCGGTATGGTAACATCACTGATGTATACTCTGCTCCGGGAAATGAAATTGAACGTCAGGGAGATTCACGCTAGAAAACCTCAGCTACATAGAACACGTGTATCAGACGAGTTTAAAGAATCGAAAAGACTGATTCTTGTCACCTCTGATGTATCTGCTCGTGGAATGAACTATCCAGATGTTACTTTGGTTATTCAGGTAAAGCACGAAAGGCGAATATTTTCATATCAAGAACAATCTCTTGTCGATATTGAACGTATTTGAACTCGGTATTCTTTTGTTGGTAGGTCGGTATACCGAGTGATAGAGAACAGTATATACATCGGCTTGGTAGAACCGGGAGAGAAGGCAAATCAGGCGAAGGATTGCTTTTGATTGCGCCATGGGAGAGATATTTTCTTGATGAGCTTAAAGATTTGCCTCTTGAACCAATTCCAGTTCCGGATCTTGATTCAAGAGTTAAACTTGAGGTTTGTTTGAATCTACTGTTATACCTCTACCCAGAGTTGTATTGCCACAAGTGACATCAATGACTATTGTTTTGTGACCAGGTTGATCAGTCAATGGCTAAGATTGATACAAGTATTAAAGAAGCAGCGTACCATGCTTGGCTCGGTTATTACAACTCGGTTCGAGAAACTGGTAGAGATAAAACCACGTTGGCTGAGTTAGCTAACCGGTTTTGTTATTCTATTGGTTTAGAGAAACCTCCTCCTTTGTTCCGCCGAACCGCGGTTAAGATGGGTCTCAAAGGTATTGTTGGTATTCCAATCCGAAAGTAAACCGAACCGGGCTTTGGTGATTACATTATATACTCGCGAAGAGAAATGTTTCCATCTACGTTGATTGTGAAAGATGGGTCTATGTTCTTCTTGTGGTAGCATAATAGTATTAGTTTTGAGAGTTGAATACAAGATTTTTAACTAATTTTTGTTATTTCTCAAGTCTCTTAATTATCATATTTATTACAAGGCAAGTCATGTGAATAAATTAAAAGGAGCAATGTGTATAGCTAGATTATAAACATTACATTTTTGAGCATTTTATTATTAATTCTTACAATTGATACGTAATTGAGTGTAAATACAAATGATTCGTAATTTATAAGGAATTAAGTCAAAATATCTAACTGATAGATACAAATTAAAAATATATAAGTTTTTATCTAAAAGAAAAATTTTTAACAGGAAAATCTAACTGGAAAAAATAATGCTTCCTCAAAAAGGTGAAACCGAACTCATTCAAGAAAAAAAAAAATATTGAGGCGAAGAGAAAACAAAAAGTATAAAACTTTTGCTGAATTATTATTCTATTATCAGTGACAAAGCGTGAGCTTCATTACTTTCTTTTTGTATTACGTGGCACACTCTTATGACATGTCGTATAATTACTGGTCGATTATAAGTCCCCTAAAATAGTGAAATGGGCCCCGAGGCTCAAGGAGTTACGTTACAAGAAAGATCATTTTTTTTTTGCTAAACAACAAGAAGGATCATCTTTGTTTCTTTTTTTCAATTTTTTTTTGTGATTGGAATCATGTTCAAAACAATAAAGAAAAGTGTATATAATAAAAAAATACATAAATCTAAATTATATTTTACATTAAACATTTTAAAAAAAAAAGATGAGAATTTTTGCATTTTTTAACTTGTGTTTCGCTTTTAGCGGTAAATATCCATAACAAACTAATCTAATTAAAGATTTGATGTTTCAAAGTGGATCAGTTTCTAAAGGCTAAGGTTCAGTAACACAAAAGGCAGACCAAATTGTTTGGATAAAAGGATCTAATAATCTTGTGAGCCACAATATGGTCTCAAAAAGTTACTAAAACCATTTAAAGGAAAGATTTATTCTCTAAAGATGACCAGAAGGTCCAGAACCAAGCAAGGCAGATCAAAGGTTCAGTAACTGAAGCGACCTCTCCTAATCCGAGCCCAAGCAATGGCTGCGACTGCAGCTCCTCCCAAGTGAGCCGAACCCGAAATGTTACTGTTCCCCTGTAAAATGTCCAAATTGTTTGTTTAAGAAATATTAACAAATTGTTCCCAACAAGCTCTGAATGTCTTATTATATATTACCTCTAATATCCTTAAGATGTCTTTTCCTATGAAGAAGACTCCCTGAAAGATAAAGAAGAGTGAAGTTTAGTTGACTTATGAAGAGGAGAAGCTTTACGCTGAAAATGATTGAGCCAGAGAGCTGAAAACTTACAAGCAACATTGCGGGAACTGGAATGACAAAATCAAAGTATATATAGCTGTTGGGAACAGGAAGATATCGAGCAGCATGATGGCATTCACCGCTCCACTCGCACCCTTTTATACAACGAAAAAAAAAAAAATTCTTTAAAGTGTCATATGAAAGCACAAATCCATTCTCAGTTGCATCCATCAAATCAACAACATTGAAGCTTTTAGCTATGTCAAATTCCATGTTGAAATAGACCAATGAAAAAGTCAAGAGTTAACTCGGAAAGTCCATGCTCTCTGGATAAAGCCATGGAATTCAAACATACCAGTCCAGGGTTTCTTGATGGATCCTTTGTAAAAGCTCCTTGACCCTGTCCAATGCATATCATTAGTCCCCCCAATATAAAAAAATAAAAATAAAAACGTAAAGCCTTTCCACACAACATTGTAATTCAAGTGGAAAGAGATCAAGCAAAAAAAAAAAACTAATTTATCAGAGGACATAGCATGATCTGAGATAAAGGAAACTTAGTTAGACTCTTTTTATGCCGGTTTCTACATACCTTGGGCGACGTCGCAGCCATGTAAGCATGATGAATCAAGTAGAAAACAGAGCCACCAAGCGCTCCAGCTAGGTACAGCTTCAAAAGGAACTGAGGGCTGAAGCTTCTTGCGATCTAGCAAGAGAAGATTTCGGGAAATGAATAGGTAAGCAATTAGATATAGAATTTACCATCTCTACCAAAACTTTTCAAAACAAAAATTAGCTGTGACTGGCTCAACCGTGCTTTCACTAGACATATACGAAATCATAGAGGAAAAAAGAAGTTATACACTGTTCCCAAAGAAGTAGAGTCCAATCATGTTTGAGATGATATGTCCAAGATCAAAATGACTGAATGCTGAAGTTATCAGAGTGTGTATACGTCCACCAGTGACATTGTCCAACGATATCTGCCCAAAGATCATCCATAGTTCCATACACAGCATTTAAACGAAGAACAAAAAAAAGTCATTATGATTCAAAGCCATTATCAATTATGTGTATCTCCAGCATATCATATAGACATCTTCTAGATCTCATTTCTCCATAACAGGAATCAAAACAAGCATGTATTTAGTGTCGTGCCAAGACTTCTAGAGGCTCAAGGCAGGTTAAAAAACGAGACATGTTTCTCACGGTAGTTTTAAACCATATTTTTCTAAAACGTTTAAATAAAGTCAAAACCAACAAAAAAAAAAAAAACTAAAACATTAGCAAGAAAAGAAATCTATGATCATTTTTGTTCTTTTTCTATAAACTCTTTTGACCAAACTCTCGTAAACACTTGATCGAATTAATTCTCTTTCTATAAATATGACTAATATTTAGGAATAAGAGACCCCAAAATCTATATACTATTTAAAGTCCCGAGGCAAATGCCTTTTTTTCTAACACTATAGACATGTTAAGCTTTGAGATCAGACCATGAAATTATTTATCATGAACTGTTTGTCGAAGACCTGCCACATCAAAAACACACCAGTGTTAGCTACAACTAGTCCAAGAACAACGTCATTAGCTGATAATCCTTGAAGCCATTCCTTCCTGTAAAAAAAATCGAATTTTTTCGTCTCATGATACAAATCTCAATAAAGTTGCAAAGAAATTTGAGGATGATGAGGGACAATACCAGCCACGCCTTTGAGACCCAGAAAAGCCCTCGATTTCGAGACCCTTTTTGGGAAACCGAGAACCGAAGAACACAACTCCGGATTCCACAAGATTTCCCAATTTTGTGGAGTTGTTCCTTAGAGCGGTCCAAGGAAGATAATGGGTTCGAAAATGGCGACTCTGGTTTGGTCTATAGAGCGAAGTGAAGGACTGGTGGTGATGATGAATCCGGTGAGTTGTTGGGTTCGTGAGCAATTTGGTGAGACGCGAAGATGAGTCGACGACGAATCTAAGGGAGAAAATCGAATTCATTTTTCAAAGGCGAGACCTTTTGCGTTAAGAAAAAAATTTCAAATTTTGATGGAACAGTGAGAAATTGTCGCTCTTGTGGACTAACTGTTAGTCTTTGATATCGTTTAGAAGTCAATAAAGTCCGAGTCTTTAGGAGAACGTTGAGGCCATCAATGTTTCATGTTTCAACAGTTTTTTTTGGGATTTTAGATTTTGGTTTTTGATTTTGCTGGAGATTTTAGTTTTTCAAAAACTTGAATGGTGATTTATTTAGTTTTTGGTGTTTGAAATATATATATATATTTTTTTAATTTTGAGTTATAATATATGCTTTTTTCGTTTTTTAAAGTATTTAAAAATATTCAAAATTAAGATAGAAATTTCATTAATAAGAAAATATTATTTTTTGTAATCCGAATTAGTAATAAAAAAATTATAGATAAAATAGCTTTTGTTTTGTATTTATATGTTTAAAATTAATAAGTCGAACATAAACTTTAATTAATAAATGGTAACAACTCACTAGAATATATATATAACAATTAACTAGATAGTTACCCGCGTTATACGCGAGATAATATGATATGCGAGTAAAATCAATATAGTTTTAGTTTAAAAACTCACTATAGTTATTGGAAAAATTATTTTACGGAATCCACAACTCATTTATATATATGACTTTTGTAATTATTTTGTATAGAAATATATCCTACCGGTAAAATAATTGAAAATAACAAATTTTTAGTTTCTTAGTCA